AGTCGGGGGGGGGGGAGGGGCAGATCAGACGTCCCAGGTTTGATAAATCACACGGTCGTGCGGTTGGCCGACCGGCGCCTATCACACACCTTTCTGAAACCCCTCCCTCTCCTCCGGCGGCGGCAACAGAGGCGATTAGGGTTTTGAGTGGACACTAAGGAGCTGACTGTTTCTCAATGTCGGGGTGCAGTGCATCAGCGGAGAAGGCATGAATTGCTCCTCTTCTGGCGCCGGGAAGGGAACCGCTGGATCATCCAGCTCCGTGCGAGCGAAGATGGAGGCGACGATGGGAAAGATGGATATCACTGAGGAGGAGGCTACACCCTGGTGATTGATGATGTTCCTACTGGAGTGAAGCCCAAGTGTTTGGTTGCGGGGAAGATCTTGTACCGTAATCTATTTCATATACAGACGATCTCCAACGCACTCCACTTGGCTTGGGGAAACCCTAGGGGCCTTGTGATCCGTCCGCCGGGAGAAAACATGTTGTGGCTGAATTTGCAAGCCAGCAGGACAGAGATAGGGTCTTGGATGGACCGCCATGGCATGTGAGCAAACATGCGGTGATACTGGAGCAATTTGAAGAGTGCATGCACCCAGAGCCCAAATTTGATAAGTTCTAGTTATGTGCGAGACTTATCAATCTTCCCTGCAACATAAGAAATGATACATGGGTCTTCCCATGGCATGGCAAATTGATAAGGAGGCCAAAGTGGTGCCGATTGATCCTGTTGTCGGCTTCCTGAGGGCTCGAGTTATAGTTGACGTGAGGAAACCCTTGAGGAGATGGATTGTAATTGACTCAACATTGAGAAACAACAGGTGATTGGTATGACATTTAGTACGAGCACGCTCCTCACTTTTGGTTCTCATTTGGCAGGCTAGGGCACTCTGATATAGTTTTCCCATACCCCGGGTACTAGAGATGAGAAAGGTAATCTTCCATTCAAGAGCAGTCTGAGGACACCAGAAGAATGCAAGAAAACGAGTGTTGGAGACAGTTCTACACGTGCAAAGTAGGCATGAGGCTAAGTCGAGAACTCCCAGAACAGTGCTAACGCCGAGGTGACGTCCCACAAGAAGAGGAACCAACATCAAAACAAACGCAAGGGTGGGCCGCAACAGACACAAGTTTATAGGAGAGTAGAAGCACCCCTGATGATAACAAATGGTGCAGTTACTTTGGCTAATGAGAATGATGAGTCTCGGCCTGATGGGAACGAGTCTGATCATGATTCAAAGAAGAAGAAACCGACCCCCCCCTCTTCCAAATATTCAGCAGCAGCTGCAGAGCATCCCTGCCAGTCATATTGAGTTTCTTAAGCTGGAACTGTGGAGGGATTGGGAACCATCGATAGTTCATGAGCTTCGCAAAATTATGAAGCAAGAAGGTCCCACCACTGGTACCATTACGTGCTATGCAAACGGTTTTTAACCCCTTTTTGCGACGACATTTTAAACCGTCACTTGGTCAGTGTGTGCGATAGGGGGGGGTCCTTCCCACACGACCCAGAAACTGTCGGGGATGGGCAAGCGGCTACTGACAATTTCCATAGAATAAATGTCTGAGAAGTCACACTTATCCCACATGTATATGTCTAAGAAGTCTAATCATGTTATCTTGCTTAAGGCGTTACTCCGTTCTTTATGAACTTAATACTCTAGATGCATGTTGGATAGTGGTCGATGTGTGGAGTAATAGTAGTAGATGCAGGCAGGAGTCAGTCTACTTGTCTCAGACGTGATGCCTCTATACATGATCATTGCCTTGAATATCATCATAACTATGTGCTTTTCTATCAATTGCCCAACAATAATTTGTTTACCCACTGTATGCTTTTTGTTCGAGAGCCTCAAGTGAAAACTATGGCCTCCGATTCTACTTTTATCATATATAAAATCAAAAAATACCTTCCTGCAATTTATTTACCATTCTTTTATTTACCTTGTTGTAATTTATTTACCGCTCTAGTAGCAACATCCTCAGCTGCAACTTTCACACAATCCTCCAATATGTGAACAACATATCATGACTTCCTTTTCTTCTCCTCAAAGTTCAAAATGCTTTGTTTCATTTCATTTCTAGTCTCATCAGGAACCTTCATGCATATCTTTGCATCACCTCATTCTCTGGCTACATGATGCTTGAAATGATGAATGCTACCACCTTTGAACATGTCATTGCAGTACATGCAACATACCATCCTCTTGTTTACACCACGAAGAACTTCAACACAATGTGCCCATGATAGATCATATTTCACTTTGGTTCTCGATCTTGATGGTTGCGCCTGTAAAGATTGGTCCTCAAATGACGAGTTGCCAGTGCCGCCATCAGTTCCTGTCATGTGTGTCTTGGACAAACCCATCCTTCTGTTACAAGTCTGCAATTCACAAATGAAATGCACAACACTATCAACCAAATAGCAAGTAAAAGCAACACAATACTCTACTTATTTATCAAAAACTATCATATCTATTATTTAACAACAATTCCCATCATGACAATGAACAAATAGTAAACCAATATACAATCCCACTATAATTATTTTTGAATAGTTCTCATCAGGACAACAAGAAAAAGTAACACACTACAGAAATCACATATGGAATTATGCATGCTCCATGCTTCATGCTAGGATCTTAGAATAGAAGGATGGAGATTGGCGACATAGAAGAGAATAGGCCAATAGGAAGATTGTATCATTCACATTTCCTACTAGAGTCAGTCGTCGGGGTGTCCTAGTGAGCACGTCTAGAGTTTTGGACTCGAGGAGCTGAGCGGAGGGAGGTTTGGAGGTGAGACCATCATTGGAGGCACAAGGTGGAATGACTGCTGGCCTGGTCGATTCGAATGGAGCGGAGGACGGGAGACCCGGCGGCGGTGGCAGCTCTCCCCGACCATCAACACTCAATAGAGACAAAGGTGGTAGAGGCGGCGCGGGACGACGGGAGTGGCAACACGGGCTGGTGGTGTGGTGGTGGTGCTGCTGTGAGGAGCGGTGAGGATAGGTAGAGGCGACATCGCTGTGCCATGTGAAAGCAAAAGTGCTCCCTGGGTGATTTTGGTAATTAATGTCAACATATGTCTTGTTCGACAATATTTCTACCTAGTATATTTTAGATAAGTTCAACATTGGAGTGGCATGTACATGACCAAGAGGATGTGGAACCCCTTCAAGATGCTAAGGACAAACATTGGCAAAAGCTCAAGACTCTACATTTTT